GGTTTTGGGTTAGGGTTCGGGGTTTGGAGTTTCGGGATTAAGATTTGGACTTCAGAGTTTCAGGCTCGGGGTTAAGGCTTAGTTTTCAAGGCTCAGGCTGCGGGTTTGGGTTCAGACAGCCGTGGTTCCAGTCTTGAGGTCACGGCAAAGTTTGCTTTGAGGTTTGTTGTTTGCCAGCCAGCGGGTGATTGGATTACAGTTTGTTTACAGCTCAGAGCTTACATTATTGTCCTGATCCGATAAATTAGGCTGTTTGATTCCGAGACATCAAGACCAGGCCCCGAAAACATCGAACACCAAAATCTGCGGCTTTTCGTGCTTCGGCTTCAGGATCCGGGGCTTAATCTTAGATTGCCTTGAGTGTTTGCAAGTTTAAGGACGCCCTATACTTAAAGTCAGCATCATCCTCGAAAGTCTTCAAACCGGGGATTCCGATGTCGGCCCCTAAACCCTGCATACCCTAAGCCCCTTAACTGGGCCTTGAGGGTCAAACGACGCTTGAGAGCCGGGCCCCTTCTGTCCTGAAGCTAAACTTCCAGCCTGGTCATTCAGCCGTTTTAGGTCTTTCAGGTTTATCAAACTCCTTCCGGATTCTTGCTTCATTCTTCAGGTTCGTCCCAAGTCGCTGCACGAAACAGTCGAAGCTCTGAGGTCGTCCCTCTACTCTCTGGACGCGCCTTGTGGGAGGATCGCTGGAAGCCCAGGGGTTTTCTTTGCTTCTTTGTGGATAAGGATGCAAAGCGAGGCTTGTATGCTTTTTATGTACCCTTTTACATTGGTTCTAGGTTGAAAGGTTTAGTTGGGTTTCTTTACTGTGTGTCACTTCCTCGGGTATTCCAGACGTGCTTGGGCTGCGTTTGATCATCGAATTGCGGGGACTTTGCTTAAGCACTGGACAGTAGGAACATTGTAGTGCGGCGTTTCATGTTGATGGGACCCGGCCTAGGCTCCGAGAATCCCTATACCCTTTCTCCTGGCCGTCCCACACACCGGTCGGGGCCAGAGGTTTAGGTCTAGCTGCTTAGACGTAGTTTTAACTAGCTTAAGGGCGCTTGTAAGTCGACTTAGCCAACTTCTACAGTATCTGCTCAACATGAGAAAAGACGCAGCTGCTGTAGCTGCACTTGTAAGCCGATGTTAAGCTGAAAGGCCTAGAATGCCAGCACATCATTTTTGTTGGCCCCAAGCCGTAGATCTTAGACCGTAAACCGCCTCAGCACCCGACTTTAGGTCTTGTGGTCAGTGCTGTCAGAAGCGTGAGCCGGAGACGCTTGGCGATGAGGATTTGCTGGCAGCTCAGAGCTCGTGGAGGAGCTTGGAGTGCAATCAGGGTTTTTTTACGGCTTTTACGGTCGTCAAGTCTAGGGCTCGAGGGTTTAGGCTTTAGAGTTTGGGGTGTGCTGAGCTGAGACTTTGGGTTTTAAGCAGGCTTGTCTTTACGACTTTACGACATACAGTGGTGCCTGCCGGCCATTCACAGATACGAACGACCACACAGGCAGACATGCATTCATGCGGACGCACGCAGCACGCACAGCCAAAGAGATACATATGTAAACATCTATTTCCACACACATACCCACTTTGCATGAACGGATGCACTGATGTTGGACGGTCTTTTCTAGGCTTTTTTTTGCTTCTGCAGTTTGGGGAAAGATTCGGTGGTACTCGGAAAGATGCACGATTGTTTTGATTCTCTGGGGAAAAGCGTTTCAGCATTTTGTGCTGGCTTTTAGAACAAACCTCAAGGCCACGACTCCAGACCTTAAACCCGCTGAGCAGGACACCGTAAACAGCAGAGACTCTTGAACACTGCCACGGACACTACCAGCCAGCAACTTTAAAGAACAACACTACCTTCCTGACTGTGTGACTCTGATAGATTGTGCAAGGTCTCCGAAGTTTGTCGAAGGTTTTGATGAGACTTGGTATGTTTGGAAAGTGTTCGAGAATGTTAGGTATGGTTCCGAAGCCTGATGTGTCTTGTCGCAGGGTGTTGTGCTAAGTATTTTCATTATGCTCGAACCCGACGAGAAAGAAAGAACGGCGCTGGAGGCGCCTGCTTTGCCTGTGTGCCTCGAAGAGCCCAGGCCATCGCAGATCGTTGACTGCGCGGATGACGAGCTTTTAAAACGCATTTTGGCCGACATTATAGAGTTGCTGGTACCGCTTCTCGGGCTTCCTGCGGCTTCAAGCCTTTAAATGGGCTTCTAGTCCTTGCAGCCATTGAGTCTTGCGTAAACCGGCCATCGCAGTTCCATTTCGGGTTACCCTTGCTTCCTTCTAAGGTCTAGAGGTATAGCGACTCTGCAGTGGTTCCCTCTACCCTACCTGCAGCCACGACCTAGAAGGAAAACACTACGCCCCATACCGGGATCTCGGTATATGATATGCTAAGCTCTGTCGCTGCGACTCATCTGTGCTGCAAGGCAACTTGCTTCTTGTTCTCCTGAGGCACTTCGCCGAGTAGCAGCAAGCGAAGTACCAAGGCAGGTGATGGAGGAAATCTAAATCCTCGACTCAGCATACTATGGTGAGGTGTTAAGGGTTTCAGGGAATATGTGGGTTTTTGGGTGTTGTTAGAGCTGCTGCCCGCTGTTGAAGATGGTGCTACCGCATAGGGGCATTAAGTGCATTGAACCCCGAGCCCCACTTGGTGTACAGCACTAGGTGATTTGCGCTTGCAGTGCTGCAGGTAATGAGGGTCTAAACCAAAAAGCCCTCTACCTTAACATAACCCGTACTAAACCCTTATAAGTGCTCATGTTCTACCCCCTTATAGAACCCTGTTCAAGTCTTGTCAACTTTGTATCTTTTGACCTTCATAAATACCCGAAGCCGGGACCGAAGCCCTAAAATCCTGCAAGGAAGGATCTTGGGATCTGACTCCAAGCCTCTTTTCCGCTGAGATCCCTTACGGCCTGGAGTTGTCTTTTGTTTGGGGTTCAGGGGTTGGGGCCGCCTTGCACTTCGTCAGAGTGTGTGGGTGCGTCGCTGCCTCTCTCTCTCCCTCTCTCTCTCTGCGTCCGCGTGCGTACATGGCAAATGTGAGTGTACATGCACATGACATCTGGTGGGTACATGCGTACTGCGTGTTCATTTGATTAGGTACGCTTCTTTCGCAAGTGTAAATCGTCGAAAGGCTGAAGTTTAGCATCCGGGATTGAGATTCGAAGTTGCAGCTTGTCCAACACGTGGATTTGGGTCTAGGTGTGCAGCCTTGAACCGTATAGATCCCCATTTTCCTCCATTCCACATCCGAATATACCCGAAACAGATAGGAGAATCGAGTGCGAAGAGTCATGAAACAAGGACAAGGCAAAACTAGTCAGACAACATGCGCGAGCCATTTCAGAACCATGGTGAGACTACTGCTGTCCATGCTTTTCCAGCCGATGCTACGATGGCCCCAAACCAGAAACCGCCAGGGATACGAGGAGCCCGCCAACCAGAACCTCAAAGAGCGAGCCTCCCAGTATCTTCGGTTCAGGGCTCAAGGTGCAATTCTAGGCTTGGGCCCGGATTCAGGCTGTCGCAGTTTAGGATTTTCGGCTCTGAAGTCCCGATGTGCGTCCAAGATGATGAGAGATTCATAGCATTAAACCCGTAGTGCCTTGCAAGCTTCAAGTTCCACTCCGCACCCAAAGGAGCACTGTTGTCTTCTGTTCGCCCCGTGTATGGAGAAACAAAAAGTTACTTCTTGCACGATCTTCGAGGGGTTTTGGAAGAGAGGCCTCTGCGATCGTGCGACATGCCGCAGGCAGCATTCCGAACAGAGCCGAAATTCCCAGAGTCAGCCGATGATCACCAGAACATCCGACAAGAGCGAAAAGTCATCGTTTGTGGCTTGGTTCTCCTCTTGGTATGTTTCTTCTATGTCTTAGTCTGTATCATGATAGTGCCTTTATTCTGAAATGTTCGTCTGTATTCTGCTAGAACAAGTTTGAACGATGTAGTGCTTCGAGGTTCAGGGTTTGGGACTTGGACCAGCTAGATGGTCAGGCTTAACATTCGGATGCAGTTGCAACCCGACTTGCTAATCTCCACCGTCCGCTGTAGCTGCTATATGAGCTTTTACAAGCCCTTGTTTTGGAGGGTTGTTTAGCCACAACCGAGAGGCAGGCCCAAAGCCTTAAAGCCTTCCGCAGCCTTGAACCCTCGACCCACGAGCAGAAGAGTGGAGTGAGAGGTTGCGGGAATATTTAAGGGGGTTAGGGCTTTCAGGTTTCGGGATGCGGGCATTTGACCAAGAATTCCAAAGAAGCCCTCATCAGGTACACGCGACCAAACCCTTGTGAGCCCCATAAGGCTGTCAGCAAATGCAGTGCAGCTCCATCACTTCCCAAAGTTTAAGGCTGTCTCGACGTTGGACCGATACATCGTTGAACACAGAGACTGCAGTGCGCCACTCAGGAGTTTAGGTGTGGATCTTACGCCCACAGCCGCGGGATCTCCAGTGAGCATACGTATAACCATAGCTACGGAAGCTTACTGTAACAGGCACAGAGCTCCGGTCTAGTTCGTCGGCGCCCTACATCTCCCACCTTGTTCCCTTTTCATCTTTGCATCAGGTGGGGTGCCTGTTTGGATTTCCATTCTTCGGAGCCTCCCCTTCTAAGCCCGAAGACCTAGGGTCCTAATCCTCTCAACCCTACAATACACCCCACCCAAAGCCCCAATCGCGCAGCCTTCAGCCCGATACTCCGAAGCATTTCAAATTTTGAGACTTTTCCTGCCTTGAACTCGAAGACAAAGTGGGAAAGCTAGAGTCATAGCCTGCTTGGCTTCAGAGTGGAGGGTTTAGGGGCACGGTTTCACGGGGCTTCTTGCTTATAAGGCTAGATGTTCGATGTTCGTTCATGGATGTTCATGGAAGTCAGGATTTGCAACAGACAAGATGGCGCAGTGAAGATGCAGCAGCGACAGACTGTGCATTTGGCTGAAGCCATTTTGGCTCAAGTTTAACCAGCCTGCTTGCAGAGAGTGGCTAGGCCAGTGCAATGACCAGTGACACGATGCAGCTTTGTGATGACATGAATGTTGCGGATCGTGTGGACCAGATCATGAGCCTTGAGCCTGTCATTGACAAGACTGCGCAGACTGTCTCTCTGCAAGACTCTTTCACTGACTTGTGTAGTGTGGCACATGGGACGAACCTGGCAGCTGCTTGTTCAGCCTTACGCAATACGAACGGGCAGTTAGTTCCTGTCAGTGTACTTGGGCAACTGCGGGCTTCCGGGGCAACGCCAGAGCAGTATCTTGGGCATGCGTTTTGGCTTATTGTCGGTGGACAACCCTGGGCTGCTGGCAGTGTGGCTGTGTGCGTTGGTGCTCTGGCCATGCATCTTTGCGGTGATCTGGCTGCATGTTTCTGTGGTCTGGCTGCTTGTGCATGCCTTGGCCTAGTGCGAAACCCACTCAGGGATGTGGTCTTCGCAGCAGATGTCTTACACTTTGGGGTAAAGGCCCTTGAAACAGCCGAGCGCTACTCTCACTCAGAGGCAGGAATGATATTCAAACTCGACAGTTCACGATCGGTCCGTAGGTCCGAGGCATCATTAATTCCTGCCATCCTGATTGGGGAGCTTGTGGACCCTCGAGGTAAAGGTGCAGCACTGAACAAGCAGTTTCAGAATCCGACAGACGAGACTGTAAAATCCATTCCAGTCGGGAACCCGCTGTACGGGAAAACAGTTGAGGAGATCAAGGAAGAATTTGCGGACCAGGTCATTGGGGAGCGACTCAAAATTCGTGGAATCTTTGTAGCTCACCCAACGAACGCTGAACAAGATCCAAGTCTGCTGGAATTGGTGAAGGAGTTGGTTCGAAGGATCGCCTTGGAGCAGAGGTGTGACTACTCTGACATCCATGTGGGCTTGTTGCGCAAAGAGGTCGCGACGTTTAAGGAGGCGCTTTCAGGGCATCGAGCGGTGACAAGGAGCGACATCCAGCTGTATTTGTTCGGTGGCTAGTGTCGTCTCTGCGTTTTTGACACTGTAATGACGCGGAGAGATTGAAGAACCACTATGCATGTAGTCGTAAGAAGTCACTTACTTCAATTGTTCCACCATGGAAAACCTCTGTCTATTGAGGTAATGTGCCGGGCTCTGTGCCCTTTCTGCATATAGTTGCTGGGCTTTGCGCCCTCTGTGAACTCTCAGGATGCTCGAGAGGAGAGTGGGCAAAACAGACTGTGTGGAAGGCGTCGTGTCTAGATGTAGACACCGAAGCATTCCTGAACCACCAACCTTATTTACCGCCCCAGTCCAAGCTGCGATTCGAAACGTGCACTCCGAATTCGGCAGTCTGCTGGTATTCAAGTCATGTGGAAACGAAAGTGACATCATTGAAATCACGGTGGTGCTAGACGAGGCAATGTCGTGACGTCGTGCGATCGTGATGGCATTCTGCCACAGTGAAATGTGGTTTTCATGACCCAAGCCGGATGGACGAGCAGACTGCAACATGACACTTGTATACTTGTACCTACATGCTTTGCATTGGCAATAAGCTGATGGTACTCGTGTTCGTGAACAAAACCAGCAGCAGCAGCAGCAGTCGCGACTGCGCCAGGAATTAGGAGCTAGAGGCATAGCACTGGCTCGAAGTAGTCGTGATGGTGCAGGTGTTGGAGGTCAGAAGCAGCAACTTTAGGAGCCGTAAGAGTAGTATCAAAATCAGCAGTCGTGCTAGTCAGAATAGTAACCGTAAGAGCCGTCGTCTTCATATTTCTACGGCAGTTGCCCGTTAGTCTGTTGCTGTAGTTGCATGGTACTTGTACTCTTGCTCGGTGTTTCTGATCCGGACGTTGATCCTAGAGTGCATCTTGTACCCCTTGCCTAAGGGCTTTGATCGTTTGTAAAGGTTCGAGTCCTCTTTGCCTCCTTGAGCACCTGCTCTTGCTGATGAAGTATGGGCACAAGAGGTCATTTGCATGAAGCACCCCTGAACCCAAGGACCCAGTCATGTCGGGTTTAAGGTTTAGGGTTTAGGATGGCCTTGCATATCCGCTATTCGGCCCCAATCCTCGGACACTCATGCAGCTGCAGGACAAAAGTTACGGCTTGTCCTTGAATGAGTTTATAGCCGGGACCCCGGTGAGACGTGTGCCAGGATCTATAGAGCGCCTCATACACCTTAAAGCAAGCCCTGCATGAGGTCTGGGGCTATGTGGGTTTGTGGAATTGAGATTTGGGGTCCACAGTTTGTTGGGTTTTGAGACTTCCGGAGTAAGGGTTGAGGTGTTTTTGAACATATAGGCTTTGAGCTCGCCGGGCTTGCAAGTGCAGGATGGCAATCAGGCCTCATGCCTGAACAGCAAGCTCTATTGCAGGATGGGCTTTCAACGGCGAAGTTCATCAATGCCTCTATCCCCGGGGTCCAGAGTACGTCCGATGCACTGGAGTGCATGGAACGTAATTCTACACGGCCTGAAGAGGCACGATTAAGTCGTGCAGGTTTTCTGCGACACGAAGCCCCGAACTCTGATGAGGTCTTGAACTTGAACATCACATTCCCCATCACATTAAACAGGATAGTGGTTCTAGGTGGCAGCAGTGGTCACGTTTGCTCGTTTTCTGCCAACACCGACATCAGCTCTCTCTCTCTCTCTCTCTTGTGCTTTGATTCACTGATCGCTATGTTCAACGACATCATAGCATCCGCGTCAGTACCGTTGCTTTACTATGCGGGCTCCCAAACCCCACGCTCAGATCAAAGCTGAGACATGCTACAGTAGAGTTCTGAATTTAGCATTCTCGTATATTCCGTACATAACTATATAGCTGTGTGCCTCAAAGCCATAGTCTGACTCACAACAAGGCCGTACATAGACAAGCATTGGATTCCAGGTGGTCCATCGCGCCAAGCGGAACCTCACGAAGGCCCACTGCAGGTCTTTGGGATTCCGCTTCGGGTTGGCGGGGCCGGGATCCGTTGCGCGGGTTTTCAGGACCCAAATTCTTTTTCGAAGGTAAAAATTACCTGGGTCCGCAAAACTAAGTCAAGCGCGGAGACAGGCCCCTACTGTAAACTCCTCGTCTCAAGCAGAATGCCGGAACCCACGAGTGCAAAACCTTCCGAATACCCTACAGCCCTAGAGGCTGTCGCTGCCAGCGATGCTCCGACTGGCTGGGTGAGAGCCACAGTTCCGACTCTGCGCACGTTCACTCCTCTGGGCACTGTTGTATAGAAGCAGTTTTTGAGTGCCTGCCTGTATGCTGCAAGCATACATACAGGCTTTTACAGACCTATTGGCATGCAAACATACAGCCTTACACATACGGGCGTACAGACATACAGACATACACGTACATGTGCACTGCGCACATGAACACACACACACAAGCACACAGAAGCATGCACAATGACACACATACTCCGGTGCATGCGCATGCACATGCACATACAGTCAGACAACGTGAAATATGCACCTGCATTCATACAAGCATTCATGTGTTCCCAAATTACCTATACATGCAAACAGCCCTGGACATCGGTACTTAATCGGTGTCGGTTTTTGTTTGTGTGCGTGTGTGTATGTTTATGTTCCTGCCGGCCTCTGTTTCGCGAAGGTCATCGTGCATGTCTGCGTGTATGCATGTACATGTTTGTCTCTGTCTTGAGCATGCTTTCTCGCTGCTTGCCTGCACAGTTGGTTTCCTGGTATGCTCGCGTTTCGAACTTGTAGAAGAAAGCATCGCGTCCTACTCTTTGCAGCATGACAGAAAACGCTTGCAGCTGAGTGTGCAATCAGTAGTATTGAATTGTCACTTCCGGCATTCGCGGTGCTAATGACAGGCACAACTGTCACTACCACCATCATCGCGCTCGTTGCGCGTCGTCCGCGAAATCCCGATGGTCATCACTCTCACAATTTTCATTTTCATCATCGTGGAGTATCATCGGTTTCGTCCATGATGCTCTGATCATGAAGCGCATCGTAGTCACTGCTCCATCACGTCACGTTCGATCAGACCAGGGCTCCCTAGCTGAGGGCTCTTCGTCCTTGATTTTAAGGTCGCCCCCGAATTTCCCCCACCGCCCCTGGGTCTCGCAACTCCCCGAACATCGTGAGCCCTGAAAGCCTGAAATCGTACAGTTCCAAATCCTGCAAACCGGAAAGTCCCAAAACAACAATAAAGCCACTTCACTCTCTACGCCCTGTATCCTCACAACCCAATACCCCAGAAACACATAAGGTTCGTTGAGCTAAAGCATCTGCCCGGATATGGGGTCGGGCCTCCGATTCACTCAGGACCTTGATCGCGGCGTCCATGTGGAGAATGTCTATGCTGCTCGACTCTGGTTGGTAGGGCTTGTCAGAACCAAACCCTCAGCCCTCCAAACCCTACTGCTCGAGACTTGGTCGCTTTTCGAAGCTTGGGCTTCTGTAATTGAAGCTGGATGGGGCCTGCTAAACCAATTATCGCTATGGGGCTTGATTTCAAGGTCAGGAAGGAAGGGGCATTGGGAATGTCGGTTCCTGTATATATATATATACACACACGTGTACCATATATATATATATTATACAATGTATATATATATATAACATAGATATATAAATACAAACAGAAGTATAAGTATCTATACACACAAGTACATGTGTAGTTATATATATATATACATGTATATATATATGTATATGTACATACATATATATATGTATATATGTATGTATGTATGTATGTATGTATGTATGTATATATATATATATGAGGGTTCTTTGAGCTGAAAATTCACTACAATGAAGAACCCTGCAAGTAAATGCGACAAACCTAATTAATCTAGCCTTTGAGCTCCATATGTGTTCCAGGATGGATCTACCGGGCACGAGTGGATATTATAGCGTTGTGTTGGTTTGTCGTGTTGAACCCATGCAGGCTGCCTACTGGAGATGACTCGCCATCTTACACAGCCTGTTGCAGAGCTGTGGAACTTGAAGCAATCGTACTCTTCCCAACAAAAGGAAAGCATGATAAAGAGCCTTAAGAGAAGGTCGGTTAAGTTGGATGCAGGGATGTCCTGCAAAAATGACCCTCAACCCTAAAGCCCGAAGATCCTAACACATGAGGTGTCTTGATCCTGCTTGGGCTCTGGGCCTTTCCTCGAAGATGTCTGTCTATCAGCAAGCCGCTGACGCCGGCCCGAACCCCTCCGGACCTCCCATTTTGTTTTGAATATTTATACTCGAACAATCTGCACATGCAGTGCACCTTGTAGAATACGGTACACCATAGAATACTGTAGTATAGTAGGGAGACCTATAGTATAATGTGCAGAGAAATCTAGTCTAATATGCAATATAGTGCATACAGCTTAGTATGACCAGATTTCCACAACTCTTGACTGCGTGCGCAGCCGGCCAAGGATTTCTATGACCCGGAAGTCCACAAGGTGCGCGTCAGGACACGGCAGCCTGGGAGAGTTCCCCCGTCAATATTGGGTTAAGCCTAAGCTTTTTGGCTTGAGGGTGGGGTTTAGGCTTTGAAAAGTCAGGGGTTTAGGGGGAAGTAAAGATTTCAGGGCTTCAGAGCCCAGAGCACACACTTACATCAACATCTTCCGTGGGAATCCCAGACGAACTGCAACACCATTGAACAGTAGCCAATCTCCAGCTGAAGCTCAGATTCCGACAAGCAGCATTTGTATGCTCTTGTCTTTCCAAACACTTTTGCTTCTACACCTAAATCCAGAAACACATGAAGCCCTAAACGCCAGATCTGAACCCACAAGACGATGGACTGAAGCAAGGATTCAATTTCGAACGCCCCAAGCAGCCCTGAACCCTTGCCCACTGGTTTGCCAACGAAGTACCAAGATATGTTCCGGGTTTAGGGTTTGTTCACGGTTGAGGTCTCTCTAGCTGCAGGAAGATGGACGACACCGTCCTGCACATGCGAACCACCGCGCAGCGCCACACAAATCTAGGCCTGCAGACTGCTGCTGTGTTGACAGTTGACTGCACCAG